TCGTACGCTAGCCTCGGGCACAGCGACGACGATGGGGTGCCAGAGCCAGGCGGGCAGCCGCTCTTCGCCAGAGCAGCCGCCCGCGCAGTGGACGGGACGCCAGGGGCCGGAGCCACGGTGTGGGGCGCGGTCCGCGTCCTTCTCTTCACGCTGATGGTCGTCATGCTCGCGCTGATGAGCGGAGCCAACGAGGAGCCGCTCACAGAGGCCTTTCCTCGCTCGCCGCCAAGCGGCGGCGGCGGCGGCGGCGCGCCGGCGGTGCTCGGGCGGACGCTCAGCGCCTTCGTCATTACCACCAACGACTCGTCGCCGCGCGCGCTCAGTACGCGCGCGCTGCTGCGCAACCTCTCGTTTGGGGACGTGCAGCTGCAGCGGGCACACGACTCCCGCTCTCGCACACCACCCGCGCACTCACTCACTACACCACCCGCACTCACTCCGCACACCGCTTACTCCGCACACCTGGACACACTCACTCCGTCACAGTCGCGCCTCCGCACCCTTAGTAGCACCTCCTGCAGCCGCGTCCGCGCCTGCCCTCCTCCGCGCCTCGCGCTCTCAGCGGTTAGACCCCCACCGATGGAAGCCGAGAGCACACACCCTGATCAATACACACAATTCACTATCGACTCCGGGACGCGCCCTCAGAACTGAACTCAGAACTGAAGCCGACAGAGAGCACACAGCGCTGAAGGAGTGGCGAGGAGTGGGTGTAGGCCCCGCCGCCTCTGCTCGACCTGAAGTCGTGCCGCATCCGATCGCTCGTGCGTGCGATGGAGGCGCAGCCGGCCACACGTGTAGAGTTTCGCCAAGCCGGGGGCCCGCATGAAAAGGATTGACGCGTTCATCACGACACTGCCACAGGCCGTGTACGACAAGATCTCGCGCATGCCCGACCCCTTCGTCTTCATCTTCGAGGTGTGAAGACGTGGTGGTGGTGGTGGGGGGTGGGGGGGGGGGGGGGGCTTGCGTGCCAAATCGCCCACGCGCATGACACGTCCCTGACACGTCCCTGACACGTCCCTGACACGTCCCTGACACGTCCTCTGTACATGTCCTGGGGGGACGCGTTGCGTTGCGGTGTGCGGCCGGGGCGCTGTGAACGGCGTCTCTTCACGCGGCGTGCGTGGGCTGTGAACAGGACGACGTGGTGGTGCACCCGCGGGCAAGAGGCAAGCTGCGGCGCGAGCGAGCACGTCGACGGCCCATGCATCATCATTCACCCGTCGGTCCACTCGTCGGGTGTAGGCAAGCTGCGGCGTGCGATCGAGGAGGCTGCCTCGCGGACCGTGCAGGCGCCGCGAGATTGGGCGAGATTGGCCCCAGACTGGTCGAGAGTGGCTGGGGTGTGGCGCATGGACCAAGCATGGAGGTGCGAGGAGGAGTGACGGTGCGCGGGTGTGTTCCCCACACATCTCGTGGTGGTGTGGAGTGGGGCGACCGCGTCGGCTCTCACGTCTCTCACCCTCGCTGCGGACATGCATGGGACATGGCGCGGCTCAGTCTGCCTCACGCACATGACTCGCTAGTGACTAGCAGCGCCCGCGTGGCTGAGGAGTGACGCACCCGCGCAGCTCAACCTGCCTCTCTTCTACCTGGGGATGATCGACCCGGTCTGCGCGGAAGCGGCGGCGGGCTCGCCCGTGAGGTCTGTCGCTGCGCCGCCACTGCCGCTGCTGCAGCGCGGGGCGGGACAGCACGGCGCGCGACGGGGACGAAGGCGCGCCACACTCCGCAGCGCCTCGCCCCCGACTATACCACCACCACCACCACTACTAGAACCCCCCCCCAACCCCCTCACACAACATTGGGGAACTCGGAAGCACCCCCCCCCCCCCCCTTTGGGAAGAATCCCCCCCCCCCCCACACACACATTGGGAAGCCCCCCCTCCCCCCTCTTGCCCCAGTTGAGGACGCTGCAGCAGTCTCGCGGGGGGTAGCAACGCCTCCCTCCGCCCGTTTGCCTGCCCGGAGGCCGAGCCCAGGGCCGAGCGGGGGGAAGCCACTGCCTGGACGGCCCGGCCGTCAGATCTGACGAGGAGGAAGGGCACCGCACCCCGCTTTGTCCGGCCCGACGGGAGCGGCCCGGGCGGCGGCGCGGGCGGCGGCCCGGGCGGCGGCCCGGGCGGCGGGCGTGGGGGAGACTACTGCAGGCGGCCGCGAGATCAGCCGAGATTAGCTGCGGCCGCGCCATGTCAACGCACCACTCCATGCCTCGCTCACCACTCCCCGGTTTCCCCCCCCCCCCCCCCACGTGGCCGCCAGGTACAGCGGCTTCGCGACGCACGCCTTTGCGGTGCGTGTTGCGGTGGCGGAGGAGAGGCGCTCGGGCAAGCGCCGGCCGTCCTTCACTCAAGTGAGACCGTCCGTCAGGCGTTAAGCGCCCCCCCCCTCCCCCCCCTCCGGTGAACGGCGTCTCTTCACGCCGCGTCACTGTGAACAGGTGCGGCCGGCGATGGCAAAGCAGCTGCTGAGGGCGACTCGCAGTTTGGGGGGGTGGTGCGCGCGCCAGAGAGAGGAGCCGAGAATGCGAGCTGAGAAGTGAGCTGAGATGAGCTGAGATGTGAGCCGAGGTGAGTCGAGGTGAGTCGAGATTGCCGCGAGGTTTTAGCCTCGCTGCTTTGGCATGCGCGCGGGGAGTATAGCCCCGCGCCAAGTTGCTAGTTGGCCGGCGGCAGTGTGGGGCGGCGGCGCTTCAAGCCCCTCGCTGTGCCCGGTGTGAATAGGTCGGGCAGCACGCCCGTAGACAGGCGGCTGCAGGCTGTCTGCTCGCAGCTGGGCGGGTGCTTCCTGACCGACCCAGGGCTGTCGAGTCCGGGCGACGCAACCATGCGCGGCTCGTTCTACCAGGACCGCAAACAGTTCCCGTCGATAATCCGCGAGAACACGGGGCTGTTTTGGAAGGGCTTTTCTGAGTCGGTCGACGCGGCGATGTGCGTGGGTGTAGAGCGAGTACAGCTCGCACGCAAGTAGTGTAGTGTCCGCTCCGCCGCGGAGGTGATCTAGCAAGTGTAGCACGGCGGGGCGGAGTCTCCGGAGACGCCCAGACGGGAGTTGAACTCACTGTGATGTGTGATGCGCTCATTGCATGGATGCATTGAAAGTTTGCTCTTCAATGGGCTCTCGTACGTCTATATATCTTCTATGCGTGACGAATCGATAGGGGATGACTCGCCTCTGATTGTGGCTAGAGTAGATAAAAGCCACTAGAGCCAGTTTTTTATAGTAGCAGCCGAGCCCGAGGCCCGAGCCGCCCGCCGCGCGTGTGCCGTGTGAGGAGTGTGACGCGCGCGTGAAGCCTGGTGCCATATACGGGCAGTACCAGGGCAGTACTCGATCGCCCGCGACGCATCACACATCTCAGTCGAGCGCCATCTCAGGCGGCAGAACCGTGCCGCCCGCGGCGGGGGGGTCGATCTGCATCTCGCCCATCGTCGCCCCCTCCAGCAGGGCCGCGAGTGGCAGCACGGGCGACGCGTCGCGAGCGCTGCTTGCGCCAGCGCCGCCAGCGCCGCCAGCGCAATCAGCGCCGCCAGCCACGCCAAGTGCACCGGCCTGGGCGCCGTCCCGCGTGCCATCCTCGTCGTCCGCATGGGCGCGGGCGAGGGTCTCTGCGATGCGGCTGATGGCGGCGCGACACTTGCCTGTCGCTTGAGCGAGACTGCGGCGCGCCGCGCTGACCTCGGCGAGGATTGTGCAGTCCGCAAAGCCGGCCGCTGCGGGAGGGTCCTCGATGCCGACCATCCCCAGCTCCTTCAGCGCCTCTTGGAAGCGAGAGAGGTAGTCCACGCACAGATCGTAGGAGTCTTCGCCGACGCCTGCCCGGTCGATATCCCGCCAGTACTCGTCGGACGCACGTTGGAAGCGCTCGACGACCAGATCCGCCATTTGGCAGTCTCGACGCACACTCTCCACTGCCGACCGCAGGGCCGCCCCCGTGTGATTCGGAGGCGACGACGCGGCGGTGTAGACACGGCGGGCGTGCAGACGCCGAACCTCTGTGCGTGGCTCTCCGCGTGCGGGAGCTTGCTTCTCGTCGCCGTCTTCAGAGCACGAATCGTCGGAAGACAAGGAGCGCATCGCCTCACCACTGCAGATCACCACTCAGACTGCAGACAACGCTCTCGACCAACGATGTTTTTTATTTTTTCAAGCGCTGTTCACACAAATACAGCGCTGTTCACAGCCTTGTTATGAGAAGAAAATAGTCCTCACTGACTCGCGGTCGGTTGGGTGGACAAGCCAACTCACCGACCCAACCCAAGCACCCAACCCGTGCCGACAACCCAACCCAACCCAAAAAGCACGATTCTCAAGTTGGGCCCTCGCACACACGCTATGTCATCTTTGCAGCCCTGGGTCAAAGTGAGAATCGGATGGGTTGCCGTGCGGGGCGCGGGCTTCGGTTTCCGCCTTTAGTTAAAAAGAAAAAGAACACGCAAGCTAAGGCACCAAATCGCGACACGCTGGACAAGGCCCAAAGGCGTCTCTCCATGTTGGCTGCAGCTCTCGCTTCCCTGCCTCCACCGTCGCCGCCGCCCTCGCCGCCGCCTCCGTCCCCGCCGCCGCCGTCGCCGCCACCACCTTCACCGCCACCGTCGCCTCCTCCTCCGAGCCCGCCACCGAGAGCGCCACTGCCGCTGCCGCCGCCGCCACCGTCGCCTCCGCCGGGCTGTTCAGACTCGTGCGCCTTCAGCAACGACGGTTCATGCGACGATGGCGGGAAAGGCTCCACCAACTCGGCTTGCGCTCTCGGCACCGACTGCAACGACTGTGGCGGGCCTGAGAACGCTTACACTCGTCTCAACAACCCGCTTCCGCCCGCCGTCCCGTCCCCACCGGCGCCCCCACCGTTGCCACCGTCGCCACCGCCGCCACCAGCGCCACCGCCAGTTCCATACCCACCAAAGCCGCCGCCGTTGCCGCCCCTCCTTCCGCTCTCTCCGGGCGAGGTCTTTGTGAGCGGCAACGCCGCCTTACAGCTGGCCGTCCGGGAAAACATGACAGACATCTACCTGCAGCCCGGCGCGAACGTCAGGCTCAGCCAGTCTCTCGTCCTTGACGGAGTAGACGTCACCATCCGCAGCTCAGGCAGCACCACTGGCGCCACCATCGACGGCACCGATGCGCTGGACAGCCTCTTTATCCTGAAAAACAAGGCAACGCTCTGGTTGGAAGGGCTCGTCTTGGCGAATTGCCAGGCGGAAGCTGATGGCGGTGCGGTCCGCATGGATGACTCCGACGTGAGCTTGCGTGACGTTCGCATACAGGACTGCTCCGCTGCGAACTCCGGCGGAGCCATTTACGCCGCCAGGGGCAGCTTGCGACTGGAGTCGGTGGAGATAACGCGCTGCAGCGCTGAGACTGGTACAGAAGGCGAGAACGCCCAGGGCTTGGGCGGGGCCATCAGGATTGTCAAGGTTCGCGAGGTGGAGCTGAGCGAGGTCAACATTACCGGCTGCAGCGCAGTCAAGGGTGGGGCTCTGCACATTGACGGTGGGACGGAGAGCGAGACCACGCTGAACCGGGTCCGTCTCGCAGATAGCACTGCCACCGAGGAAGGCGGCCTCGTTTACATTGTGAGCGGGCGCTTGACGCTGGAGAACGGGACCCTGCTGGAGAGCGGAACGGCAAGCCAAGGGAGCTCGATCGCATTCAGCGGCGCGCCCGAGGTGTCCTACCGCCTGCCTTTGCCTCCCGGGTACTGGATCCCGCACTCGAGATGCGAGATCTACCGGCAGCTTCCTGCCGACTGTGCGGACGACGTCTGCCGGGGTCTATTCGACAAGTGCAAGACCGAGACGGACGCGCAGAACGACGAGTGCAAACAGTTCCCCGTCGCCTTTGTTCAGCCCTGCAATTGGGAGGCGACGCCCGCGCTGCTCGGCGTATCTCTGTACCAGGTGCCAACCTCTGCCCTCGATGTCGACCTGCCGTACGCCTGCGCCCCCGGCATTCTAGGCTCGAGCGATGCCGACGACCAGAAGTCGGCCTTCTGCGCCGGCCTCTGCCCCGTGGGCCAGCGGTGCCCCGAGGCCGCCACGACGGAGCCCCGCCCGTGCACCGAGGGCAACTTCTGCCCGGCGGGGACGAGCGTGCCTCGGCCGTGCCCCGAGGGCTCGTACTCGGCCGCGACGAACCTGACGAAGGAGGACGAGTGCACGCAGTGCCCAGTCGGCTTCACTTGCCCGGCGGGCAGCACCGTCCCCGACCCTTGCAACGACGGCACGACGACGTACGGCCAAGGGTCCACGGCGTGCGACGTGTGCGACGAGGACTTCTTCCTCGTCCTAGGGGAGGCCCAGGCCTCCACCAAGGCGTGCAAGTCGTGCCCGGCCCCGCCTTCCTCTCCGCAGGGAGGCGTCGTGTCCTTCACCTGCGGAGTCGACACACGCATCGGCGCACTCTACGTGCCGGGCAGAGGTTGCCTGGAGCCTTCCCTGAAGCCTCTCGGAACCTTCCCTGTAGGCTCGCTCAACGTGTCGAGCGGCTGGTGGCGCGCCTCGAACGCGTCGTCAACGCTGTTTGCATGCAAGGTTCCTTCCATCGCCGCCTCCACCCCTTCTACCCCTCCGCCCTCGCTGCCACCCTCGCTGCCACCCTCAACTCTCCTCCCTCGCTGCCGCAGGTGATGGGCGACGAGTGGAGCCCGTGCCGCGGCGGCGTCGACTCGTCGGAGGATGGCAACGCCCTCTGCCACCCCTTCTACGAGGGCCCAAAGTGCGAGGTCTGCACCAACACGACCGACAACGGCATCCGCTACTTCCTCAACTCGAAGGCGCGCTGCCAGCCGTGCGACCGGCCGGCGGAGTCGGTGATGCTGCTCGTCGGTCTGCTCTTCACGGCGGGCGCTCTCGGCCTCGGCACTCTCAAGGTGATCCGCAGCTCGTGGGTCCCTTCGGGCAAGGTGGCGCGCGCGCTCGTCCTGATGGGTCGTCGGATGGCGTTGCTGTGGAAGCGGGCGGGGATGCTATGCAAGACAAAGCAGCTGATCAACCTCTTTCAGGTAGTCGCAGTCGTGCCGGCCGTGTACGAGGTCGAGCTGCCGCCGCAGCTGAGCGAGTGGGCCAACCTCTTCAACGCCGTCGATATCTTCGACCTCGATCTTTTCCTACCGCCCGCGTGCTATGGCTCCTACCTCACCCGCCTGATTGCCTGGGGCTTTTTGCCCTTTGCGCCCATCCTCCTCGCGACCCTCGGCAGCTGCGCCTGGGAGCTCGCAAGTAGTGCAAGTTTGACTCGTGCCGCGCTGTGGCGCGGCCTGTTGGGTGCACTGCCGCTCATCGTGATTCTCCAGTTCTTGCTAGTTACCTCCACCAGCACGCGCATCCTCCGCACCTTCAACTGCATCGAGTTTCCGACACGGGACGCGGTCCTCCCGGGGGGGCAGGAGCCGTACCGCGCCTACCTCGCCGACGACCTCTCCCTCGACTGCAGCACGCCAGAGTACGCCACGGTGAAGCGGTGGGCGTATGTGCTGCTCTTCGTGTGGCCCATCGGCGCGCCTCTGTTGTACCTTGGCTTGCTACTCGCCTCACGGCGCGACATTATGACGCGCCAGTCGACACCTCTCTTGCGTGCGACCGACTTTCTCTGGAGGGACTACGAGGATAGCGCCTTCTACTGGGAGCCGCTCGACCTCGTCCGCAAGCTGACGCTGACCGGCTTCGTGCTCATCAACACGCAGGAGCGCACACGCCCACATCTCGGCTATCTCGGCGAATGCTCAGCTGCACCTCCCCTCTCTGACCGGCCTCGTGCTCACCAACACCGCAGGGCTCGAAGCAGCTCCGCGTCATCATCGCGCTGCTCGTCTCGATGCTCTTCCTCACCCTGCAGTACGTCCTCTCGCCGTACAAGCGCACGCTCGACGGGCGGCTCTCCATGTTCGCCAATATCGGCCTCGTCCTCGTCTACCTCGCCACCCTCACCATCAACTCGTGCTCGCTGCTCGAGACGGACACACAGACGTGCGGCGAGTTTGGGCTCGACCAGCTCGAGCTCGCGACAATCTTTCTCTCCTTCACCACCGCCCTCCTCGGCATTGGGCTCACCCTCGTTCTGTGGCTCTACACAGCGGCAAGCCGCGCACCCACCTTCCGCCTCGTTAGCAGCGGGCGCGAGCCGCTGCGAGACGGACGGACGCTCACGGAAGGCATGCGGTGGCACCTATTTCTGAGCCACATCTGGTCGACGGGGCAAGACGCGGCCGCGGTGATCAAGAACCAGTTGCGGTTGCTTCTGCCTGGTGTCGAAGTCTTCCTCGATGTAGACGACCTTGAGGGCATCGCCGCTCTGGAGGAGTACATCTCGAACTCTCGTGTCGTGCTTCTGTTCCTATCACGGGGCTACCTTCGCTCGGTAAATTGCCAGCGCGAGGTGCGCGCTGCTTTAGCTAACAACAAGCCCATTGTGCTCGTCCAGGAGGTGGATCCGGAGAAGGGAGGCGGTGCACTCGCCGAGCTCCGCGCGGAGTGCCCCGCCGAGCTGCAGAATGGAGTCTTCGACAATCGTCAGCCAATCCCTTGGCATCGGATTCGTGAGTTCCAGCTCGTCTCCCTAAAGCTGATTGCCGAAGCGACGCTACTGCAGACGCCAAGATACTGCGGGAAGAGCAACCTGCCGCTTTACCTCCCTGGTGAGCTCCGTAGTGAGGGCCTCAGCTTCACGCAGCCACTCATTCTTTGGACATCGACCGCAAACCGCGGCGCGCGAGCTCTAGCCGAGGAGCTACACGTTGCGTTCCCCCGTATCGTCCTCACCGAAGTTCCACCTCCAGGGCTTCTCGATAAGCAAGAGAGCCAGGCGACCAATGCGCTTCAATGGCTCAGCCGTCGAGTGAGTAGTAACAGCATCAATCGAGACGGCTCCAACGGAGAAGCTACCCACATGCTGCTCTACCTCAACTCGTCAACCTGGTCTGACGAGCTGCTAGCGAAGCAAGTCACAGCGGCGCGCGCGGCCAGACTGCCCATCATCATGGCTCATGAGAGGGACCCAGCACGAGGCGGGTGCCTCTTTGCGCGCATGTTCGAAGTTACGCCTCAGCAGCTGATCGTCGACGGCCTCTACAAGAACCTCGCGCGCTCGTGCTTTCCCGATCCGCACCGAAAGGCGCGGGGTACTCGAGTTCTCTTCTCAGCACCCAAGTCTCTATCATGAGGGTCCCCGGCAACGTTCAATAGGTGTCGCACATGCTCCTGGCTAAGGACCTCGGCGCGAGCACGCAAACGTGCGTTGCACGGCTTTGCGGCCCGGCGATCTTTCCCCACGCAGCGACGCGGCCCCGGCGGGGGCGGCCCATCGCCGAAGTTGAGATGCACGGGACACGAGTGTCGAACCATCATATCTCGCAAGGCGCTGACGTGTAAGGGAAGGCGGTCTGAACACCAACAACTTATTACGGACTATTTATTCAGCGTAGCGGAGATCGAGGTGTATCGGATACCGTGGTCCGCACGAGCGCACGTCCGGTCCAAAAGAGACACAATAAACTGTCTCGGCTAATTGCTGTTTTCTTTCGTTCCTTGGCACAAATGTAGAGAAAGGTAGGACATAGGTAGGGATCCACATCCTGTGAAACAAGAAAACGGACCGCGTATTGCTTGGCGGTGCGAGCTGGGCGGAGATAAAACACAAAGACACGTGAGACTGAGTGCGCCTCGCACGCGCGCCGTGATCACAGCACAGTCAGCTCTGCGTCCGGGTAGCCCGCCGCCGCCTTGTACTGATCAAACACTTCGACGAGTGCTCGCTCGTACTCGGCGTGCAGTGCCTCCACCTAAGAGAAGGGTAACAGCGGGAGCTTCTCCGCCAGCGCTTGCGCGGGGCCGCCGACTCCGCGTCATGAGACAAGCAGGAGCCCCGCGGCACTGCAAGCGCGAGGCCCGGCGTGTGTGCAACGCCTCGTCCACCTCCTCCGTCGGCCATATCGCGGCTGTATCTCTGCCACATCTCGGCTCTAACTCCCACCTCGTCGTCCGACGGCCGCCCGTCGGCGGCGGCGGCGCGCCGCGAGGGCAGCGGCTCCGCGATGGCGATGGTACAGCCGTGCGGCGGCGTGAGCGGCACCGTGGGCAGCCACCACCAGCGGCCCCAGAAGAGGGTGACGCTGCAGCCTGTGCGCGGCGGGCGGGCGGGCGGGCGGGAGGAGGCTCACTCTCCGCAAGGGGACGGAGATAGCCAGAGGGAAGGGCTGACGCTATCGTCGAGCAAGTGTGACGTCCTCGGCTGCACCTCGGCTGCACCTCGGCTGCACCTCGGCTGCCCCTCGGCTGCACCTCGGCTGCACCTCGGCTGCACCTCGGCTGCCTCTCGGCTGCCTCTCGGCTGCCTCTCGGCTGTCTCTCGGCTGTCTCTCGGCTGTCTCTCGGCTATCTCTCGGCTGCGTCTCGCCGAACGAGCGTGACGTCCTCGCGAGCCACGAATCGGACCTACTCGCGCATCATCAGTCAGGAGAGGACGGGCCCTCGCTCCCTGACTGCCCAGCCAAAGGCCGAGACGTGAGGGACTGGAAGTAGAAGTCGTTGCCCCCAAACACGTACATCGGCGTCAGCCGCGCGCCCGTCTCGAGCGCGAGGCGGCAGAGCCCGCGCCTAAGCGAAAGTTCGGGGAAGGGTCGTGCAAGGCTCCTCGCCTCGTCCTCGCCTGCAAGCCGCGGGCCTAGGCGAAGGGTCGGGGAAGGGTCGTGCAGGGCTCCGGCTCTCGACCGGCGCGAGGCGAGCAGAGCCCGCGCCGAGGCTTCCACACGGCGACGTGCCTACGCTACCTCCTTCACTACCTCAGGCCGAGGTGTGTGGCGAGGCGCGGCCCTCCGCACACAGCCAAACACACCTTGCCGGCTGCGCCGTGAAGATCTCGGCGACGCCGCCGGGCAGCATGTACAGGTTCCGGCCCGGGTGCTTTGCCCGCAAGAAGGTTGCGCCGGAGCCGCTCGTCAGGTTGCGCTTGAGGTTGGAGTACGTGGCAGGCATCCCCGTCCACCTGCGAATAGGCTGGCGAGATCTGGCCGAGATCTGGATGGAGTACGTGGCGGGCAGTCCTGTCCACCTGCTCACGGCGTTTCTCTGATGGACCGGCGGCCCCTCTCTTTCTCGGGCGTACCATCTCCGCCCACTTGATGCGGCCGAGAGGCGGCCGAGAGCATGCCGAGAGACGGCCGAGAGATGGCCGAGAGATGGCCGAGGTCTGGCTCCGGCTGCTCACCAGCCCATTAGCGTGCGCAGGCCGGGCAGGTAGCAGATCACGCTCGCCATGCCTCCGAAGCCATACACCGTGCCGTGCTCTGCCGTGCGGAGGTACTGGTCCGCGAACGCCACCCAAAGCAGCACCTGCAGCGGCACCACCCCGTGCGGGTGCATGCCGAGGATGTAGCGCTCGCCCCGCTCGACGCAGTCCTCGACCAGCCTGCCGACATGCCACAGGCGTGTCGTGGACGTGTCCCGGACATGTCCGCTCGACGCGGCCCCTCGCCCCGCCTGCGGATCCGCTCCTGCGTGAGGTTGTGTCGCAGGCGGAAGAGCTCGTAGTAGACCTGGCGGAGGCATGGTGTGCGATCAGCACAGAAGATTCACTAGAGGTTGCGATATGATAGACCTGGAGTAGAGGTTCGCGGAGGCCGAGAGGAGGAGCCAGTACTGCGGGGCATGAAGGCAGCCTGGCAGAGGCGACGCGTGTATGGCCGCTCGTGCAGCGGGAGGAGCGACCCGCCGAGCAAGACGAGGCCGATCGCTGCTGCGGTCGTCACGTGGCCGGACGTGGCGAGTGCGAGCGACACCAGGACGGTCGCAGGAAGGAGGTAGTACATCGACGCGAGCAGTGTCACAAAGACCCACGCGAGAGCTCGGCGCACGGTGGGATGGAGGGAGAGCAAGAACGGGTCGTCGATGCGGCAAGGATAGAGCGCAGCATCGTCAGCCTTGCTCGCGGACATATCCGAGGTCTGCGACTCAAGGGGTAAGCGAACCAAAAATTCCAAAAAGACAGACAAATGTATTGTGTCGGGCTACCGTCCAAAGGCGGGTGTAGTCGACCAAGGGACCACGAATCTGGTCTGTCGACAGCACGAATTTGGGATGGGACACCTTCGGGACCCGGCTGCGTGCTACTTGGATAGCACGCTTTCGGAGTACCGACGGCTAAGGCCGAGGCAGAAAAGGTTTCTGTTTTTTTCTCCGCTTTTCTTCACAGTATTTTCCTGTGAAGAGAGACGTAGAGAAACAGATCTTTCAAACTCGGTGTCGAACCACCAGCCCGACGCTCACTACAAGTGAGGTAGCGGTACTCGCTTAGTGTGGGTAAACCATAAAAGTAGGTTTGAATTCGTCCACGGAAGGCTTGGTGAGTGGTTGGGGTGGCCTCAGGCATCCCCAAGGGAGCCTCTGCGGTGCCACATAAGCAGCTTAGTGATTGTCGAGACTTTAAAGTATTCGTTGGAAGAAACGCAAACAAGACAGACGGTACTATGGTCACCAGTTTAAACCATAATTCGACTTTGAGGGATCATATCTCAAAAAGCCGGGAGATAGCATAGCCTTATTGTTGCATATTATGCCACATAAGGTCAAACTCGACCCCACAAGCATCAAGAACCCGATGCTCCGGCTCGACTGTGCCGGCACACTGCCTCCTCGCGCACGCTGCTAGCAGGCCGTTGCGGCCCGTGGTGCACCAGAGAGAGAGGTCGACACGTTGCCCCCGCCGGCGAGTCCGCGCGGCTCAGGCCGGCCAGAAGGTGTGTGGTGGCGGCACCGTGGCAGGATTGCGGAGAAGAGCTCGCCGAACGCGAGCAGCAGATGGCCAAAGTGTGCCAGCGCGAGAGCCTCGCGAGCGGGCGCAGAAGGAGCTCGCCGTGACACGATGCCGGGGGGCGCAGAAGGAGCTCGCCGTGACACGATGCCGGGCGGTGGTGGTGCTCTGGCGGCTGTGCACAGTGGGCAAGGTCAGGCTGCAGCAGGGCAGCACGTTGGTAGTGCCCTGCTGCAGCCTGGCCTGACATGCACAGGGCGAACAGAGGCGGTACTATCGTCCGGCGCTCGTCGTCGAATCTGGGCCAACTTCGACCGCCGCCACAGCTCGCCACGAGCACGCAGCGACAAAATGTTGACTGTACGGAAGTTGAGGCTGGTCGAGAGGAAAAGGCTGCCGTGCGAGCCGGCAGCAGGCCGGCTCGGCGTTATCTGCCGCGGCGACTTTTATGGGCTACTCTGTTCATAGTACCGTACCTGGTATTATGGTTTACCCACACTAAGCGAGTAGGGCCCGCCCGTGTGAAGCGCGGTAATCCGGCCCGCGGGCGGCGGAGGTACACGACCGGGCTTCGGTTTCGCAACAGCTTCGTTTTCACAACAGTACCTTCCAAAAGAAAAAAATGCGGGTCGAGTACTGTGCCGTACGAAAGTGTGAACAGATTGGAGCAGCAGCTCCTGAGCACGGCGCCGCAGGCGCCTGTTGATAGGTCCAGATGATAGCCCTGGATGGGCAATGCATACGCCTAGTTGGGCCTCAGATCGCCCGACCGCGTCCCGGTGCTCTGTGGTCGGATTTGTGACGCCGCCGCACCGCGCCGCGGCCGGGGGCCCTCCGGAGGCCGAGGATGGCCGTGACGGACCGGGACGAGCTCTGGGCGAGGTTCAGTGTCAGTGTATATATTGAGACCAATCATGTCCACAATATCTCTCAGTCTAGCTAAGCCTGGGAAGGCGATGCCGGGGCCGTACAGCAGCTTGATGGTGCTTCGTTCGCCGGCGTGCGTCCCGGAGCGGTCCCGGACTGGTCCGTGGGAGGAAAACAAGGATCAGCGCCGACGGCGCTCTGATTCGACTTTTAACTTCAAACAAAGACAGTGGTCAGTGGCACGCGCCGCAGCGCGGTGCATGCCACTGTCAGGAGCGGATCCGTCAGTTTTTTGGTCACGCCGGCATCGTGATCCTCACAACCTGTGCGCAGACTTTAGGCCACAACAGTATGGCGATCCGCCTCCACTCTTGTGTTGCTCGCTCGCCCGGGCGGAGGGCATGGCCGCGGAGGAGGCGAGTGCGCGCTTGCCAGGCCTTCCGCAGACAGCCTCTCGGCCAGACTGAGGGTCGGCTTTGCGTGGCGTGGCCCCTGCGCTGCGCTGCGCACAGCTGCGTGTGCTGAGGGAGCATCTGGTGCTTCCACTGGGAAGTGCGCACCTCCCGCAGCCGGTGGAGGGCCGTGCCGCCGCGCGCCTGCTCCGTGGACAGGGCGGGGAGACGGCGCCGCAGCGCCACAGCGCCCGCTGAACCTGTGTCACCCGGAATCCATACTGTCACTCGAAAACCATAAGATTTGTCAAATTTGCTGCAATTGCTGTCTTATTTGCTGGCATATGCCATAGTAATACTTGTGCACAAGAGTAGGACCCTGGCTGCACTCGCGCCAGGCTACGCTGGGGCCTGTCTCCTGAAAGAGCGCCCCTCGTGGGGCTGGGCAACGCGGCGTTCGCATGACTTGCACACATGCCGCTCACCGGTCGTCCTCGTCCTGGTATCTGCCCCCATCGGCGCCGCATCATCACAACATGCACATGCACAACATGTACATGTACATGTTGCACATGTAGCATGTGCTGTGTGCCCTCTGCTCGTCTCGATAGCAAGTAGAGCCGCGCTGTCCGAGGCAAGGTGACTGTGTCCGTGAAACCTGTGTCACCCGGAATCCATAGTGTCACGCTCTTATGGATTTGAAATGTCAAATTTGCAGCAAATTTGCACGCAAACTAGCGTGCCACCGAAGGCGTCCCGTCGGAGGTGATGGAGTGTGAGACCTGAGGCTGCGGAGGTGACGCCTGAGGTACCGGCCCGTGCACAGCGACTCAGCCGGCGACCGCCACGGGCTCAGACGAGATTTATCGACTCGTTCCGGCTCAGCTTCACCGTGGTCATCGGGCGTCTGTCGACGTCACGACCACGCATGCAGCTCGCGGGTTTGAGGTCGCAAGAGCCACAAGATGGTGGCGTTTGGACATCCCAACCATCACAAAGACAGCCTGTAGGTGATGGCGGGACGGCGCAGTGTTTGTGGCACTCGGCAGTAGGCACCCGCGGCACGGCCCCGCTGTCGGCTCTCGCGGGCTGCGGAACCGGCCCCAGAAGGGGACGGTCCGGGCGAGTGTGGCAGCTCCTGCGCTAGTATGGGCACCCTCTATCACAACACTACTGATCCTGGTCATTAGAGCTGCCAGGGATAGCGTCAGGACACAGGAGAGTGACAGGAGCCGGTACGCGGTAGGAGTCAAAACCCCTTCATATTTGAGACATCGTGGCCCATATACTGCACAACAACCCGGCGGGGGCGGCTGCCAGGGGGGGGGGCTGGAGGCGGACATACACACCTGCAGGATGTATCGCGCACAAGAAAAAGAAAAACCGCGTCGTCGGAACAGGATCATGCACATTGTAGATTTGTCACCCGCTCCAACGTACGTACCGTCCGGGCACAGCCGGAAACACCACCGTTTTCCCACGTAAGCCACCGCCGAAACCAAAGGCATCTCAGCTCAACTCGACCGGAGTCGGGTTGGAAGGCGAGTCCCCCCCCTCCCCCTCTACCGCCCGCGGAGAGAGCGGTGGCGCGGCCTCGTCGGGCTCCGACGCCGCGCTGGAGGCGCGGGCGAGCGAAGCGAGGCCGACTGTCCCGCCTCCAACTTCCGGCAGCTCGACGTCGGGTCTCTCGTCCTGGTACTTGGGGCGCTGCAGCTCCAGCGCGGCCACCTCGGCCGACATGGCCTCGTATGCCTCCGCCTGTGGGCGTCCGGATGTTTTTGCTCAGGCGCGGGCCCGGGCAGCACCTTTAGAGCAACGGGCTGCTGGCTACTGCTGCCCTCTGCCTGCGCGCTCTTCAGCAGCTCGAACTCGCGGCAGAGCAGAGTGTTGCCTACGAAAAGAAAAGAGAGGCGCGTAGAGGAGGGAGGGTGTGAAGGAGAGCTTACGGCGGACCAGAGGGGTGCCGATGGCCGCGTAGCCCTGAAATACGACCAGCAGCGCGGCCGACGCCTCGTCCCACGCCGCCGACGCCGCCTCGCTCTTCTCGCGGTTGTCGTCGAGCTTGGCCTGCCGAGGTTAGCCGAGATTAGCCGTGATTAGCCGAGATTAGCCGGGGTATAGCCGAGGTGCAGCCGAGGTAAGGTACACCGCGGTGTATCCGTCTCGCGGCTGCTTGGCTCGGGTGATCTCGGGTGATCTCGGGTGATCTCGGGTGATCTCGGGTGATCTCTTGCTGGCCTGCTGCGTGCCCGCCTTCTCCTGCAGCCTCTGGTACTTGTCCGCGTAATAGTCTGCGTTCAGCTTCAGCACCTGCGCTCCGAACAGCCGATGGTGACAAGCCGTGTGGTGCTCACAACTGCTAGTGAGGAGGAGGGTGGTTGCTGGTACGCACCTGCAGCTCCGAGATGTGCTGCCACACCTAGTGCAGCGGGCGGGCAGCGCGGAGTCTGCAGTGCACTCGCGGCGCATTGAGTGTCACGGGCCACGCGCGCAGCGAACACAGCTGAAGGCAGCCGAGGCCGTAACGCCTGTCGACTGCTAGCCGCTCGGGTAATCTCGGGTAATCTCGGGTAATCTCCCGAGGCCGTGACGCCTGTCGACTGCTAGCCGCTCGGGTAATCTCGGGTAATCTCGGGTAATCTCCCGAGGCCGTGACGCCTGTCGACTGCTAGCCGCTCGGGTAATCTCGGGTAATCTCGGGTAATCTCCCGAGGCCGTGACGCCTTTCGACTGCTAGCCGCTCGGGTAATCTCGGGTAATCTCGGGTAATCTCCCGAGGCCGTGACGCCTGTCGACTGCTAGCCGCTCGGGTAATCTCGGGTAATCTCGGGTAATCTCCCGAGGCCGTGACGCCTTTCGACTGCTAGCCGCAACGCACGGGCGCGTCTCGTCTGCATCTAGGGCGCCGGACGGCGGCCATCGCGGTGGCCTTGCGCCGTACCGCCGGCAGGATGGCCGTCTCCTACACAGCCATGAGCACTTTAGCGTGGTGGTGGTGGTGGGGAGGTGGGAGTGCGGCGTCGAGCGGTGTACTCAGAGCATCGCGTGAATGCGAGGGCTACGAATGCCGCTGACGACAGCGGGGATGCCGCCGCGCCCACGCGTCGTCTCGAGCGCCAGTTTGGACACACGGGTTATGCTCCCGCGCCAGGCCTCGAGATATGGGGAGATCTGGGGAGCGCCTCTGCTTCCGCATCTAGGCTGGCGCGGCCATCGCGTCTGCCAGTTTCGTCTTGAAGGCGAGCTCCGCCGCGCTCATGGCGGTGGAGAAGGCGGCGGAGCCAGAGGGCGCCAGCGAGGGACCAAGCGCGCCGTCCACCGCAAAGGCACGCGCGCCGGCAGCCAAGCTCGCTGCGAAGGGACTGAGGCCCGCCTGGCGCCGGGCAGGGATCGAGATCTCAGGAGAAGGATTGCGAGTCACGGCGTGGCTGGCGGGAGAGGCGCCTGGAAGGCCACCAGCTCGGCGTAGCTGGCGAGGAGGCACTCCTCGGTCTTTAGGAACACCTCCTCTGCTTTGAGGTACGCCTTGAACGCGTCGCTCGCCTTGGCTTCGGGGAAGGAGAGCACCTTATGGTTTTTGAGAAAGATTGCGCGATTCATCTTCTCCGTGGTGCTGCGCTTGCCGATCGCCGCCTTGTGCTTCAGCCACTTCTTGGCCTCTGTGGGCGGCTCATTGTCGCCCCACATCCCACTGAGCCTCCGTCCGAGCTGGGACACGGGGCCGTCGTCTCTCCCAGCTGACATATCGACTGCCATGATGCCGGAGAGGAGAGAGGAGAGGATGGACGAGAGGAAGGGAGAGAGCCTGTCTTGACGACGGCGGTCGATCTCGCGATTGTCGATCAAAATCGGCGGGCTTCTCGACGCCGTTTACGTGAACGGCGCTTTTTCTTTTGCGACCAACCACGACCGTTGGTAGTTGGGGACATCTGATTCCCGCAAGGGTCTTGTCACCACCCAACCGTCGAAAACTCCAACCCCCCCCCCCCCCCTCCTGCCCCAGTCAACGACGCTGCAGCAGTCTCGCGGCGGGTAGCAACGCCTCCCTCCGCCCGCTCGCCTGCCCCGAGGCCGAGCCCAGGGCCGAGCGGGGGGAAGCCACTGCCTCGACGGCCCGGCCGTCAGATCTGACGAGGAGGAAGGGCACCGCACCCCGCCTCGTCCGGCCCGGCGGGAGCGGCGCGGGCGGCGGCGCGGGCGGCGGCCCGGGCGGCGGGCGTGGGGGAAACTACTGCAGGCGGCCGCGAGATCAGCCGAAATTAGCTGCGGCCGCGCCATGTCAACGCACCACTCCATGCCTCGCTCACCACTCCCCCCCCCCCTCACCCCCCCGTGGCCGCCAGGTACAGCGGCTTCGCGACGCACGCCTTTGCGGTGCGTGTTGCGGTGGCGGAGGAGAGGCGCTCGGGCAAGCGCCGGCCGTCCTTCACGTGAGACCGTCCGTCAGGCGTTAAGCGCCCCCCCCCCCCTTCCCCCGTGAACGGCGTCTCTTCACGCCGCGTCGCTGTGAACAGGTGCGGCCGGCGATGGCAAAGCAGCTGCTGAGGGCGACTCGCAGTTTTGGGGGGTGGTGCGCGCGCCAGAGAGAGGAGCCGAGAATGTGAGCTGAGAAGTGAGCTGAGATGAGCTGAGATGTGAGCCGAGGTGAGCCGAGGTGAGTCGAGATTGCCGCGAGGTTTCAGCCTCGCTGCTTTGGCATGCGCGCGGGGAGTATAGCCCCGCGCCAAGTTGCTAGTTGGCCGGCGGCAGTGTGGGGCGGCGGCGTTTCAAGCCCCTCGCTGTGCCCGGTGTGAATAGGTCGGGCAGCACGCCCGTAGACAGGCGGCTGCAGGCTGTCTGCTCGCAGCTGGGCGGGTGCTTGCTGACCGACCCAGGGCTGTCGAGTCCGGGCGACGCAACCATGCGCGGCTCGTTCTACCAGGACCGCAAACAGTTCCCGTCGATAATCCGCGAGAACACGGGGCTGTTTTGGAAGGGCTTTTCTGAGTCGGTCGATGCGGCGATGTGCGTGGGTGTAGAGCGAGTACAGCTCGCACGCAAGTAGTGTAGTGTCCGCTCCGCCGCGGAGGTGATCTAGCAAGTGTAGCACGGCGGGGCGGAGTCCGGAGACGGGAGACGGGAGTTGAACTCACTGTGATATGTGATGCGCTCATTGCATGCATTTTGAAATTTTGCTCTTCAATGGGCTCTCGTGTCTATATATCTTCTATGCGTGACGAATCGATAGGCGATGACTCGCCTCTGATTGTGGCTGAGTAGATGCCAGTTTTTAGTAGCATCTAGCAAGCCGCGCCCGCCCCGCGCCGCGCGCGTGTGTGCCGTGTGAGGAGTGTGACGCGCGCGTGAAGCCTGGCGCCATTATACGGGCAGTACCAGGGCAGTACTCGATCGCCCGCGACGCATCACACATCTCATGCTCCTCAGTCGAGCGCCATCTCAGGCGGCAGAACCGTGCCGCCCGCGGCGGGGGGGTCGATCTGCATCTCGCCCATCGTCGCCCCCTCCAGCAGGGCCGCGAGTTGCAGCACGGGCGACGCGCCGCGAGCGCTGCTTGCGCCAGCGCCGCCAGCGCCGCCAGCGCAATCAGCGCCGCCAGCCACGCCAAGTGCACCGGTCTGGGCGCCGTCCCGCGTGCCATCCTCGTCGTCCGCATGGGCGCGGGCGAGGGTCTCTGCGATGCGGCTGACGGCGGCGCGACACCTGCCTGTCGCTTGAGCGAGACTGCGGCGCGCCGCGCTGACCTCGGCGAGGATCGTGCAGTCCGCAAAGCCGGCCGCTGCGGGAGGGTCCTCGATGCCGACCATCCCCAGCTCCTTCAGCGCCTCTTGGAAGCGAGAGAGGTACTCCACGCACAGATCGTAGGAGTCTTCGCCGACGCCTGCCCGGTCGATATCCCGCCAGTACTCGTCGGACACACGTTGGAAGCGCTCGACGACCAGATCCGCCATTTGGCAGTCTCGGCGCACACTCTCCACAACTGACCGCAGGGCCGCCCCCGTGTGATTCGGAGGCGACGACGCGGCGGTGTAGACACGGCGGGCGTGCAGACGCCGAACCTCTGTGCGTGGCTCTCCGCGTGCGGGAGCTTGCTTCTCGTCGCCGTCTTCAGAGCACGAATCGTCGGAAGACAACGAGCGCATCGGCCACACCGTGAGCACTCACCATTCGTGATTTGCGCGCCTGGATTTGTTTTTTGGCTGGGCGCTGTTCACAGACCTTGTTATTGAGAAGAAAATACGTCCTCTGGCGCTGTGCGCTGGTCTATGAGAGGTTGAGGTGCTCGAGCCCTGGAGGCCCTGGGGATGGGGGGAGACTACTACCCGCGGGCCTAGAAGGGGGATGGGACATTGAGATCGGTCATGAATGAGTGCGCGACACGCATGTGCACTGTCCAAAAGTTGAAATTTCGGAAGTTTACACAAAATCAGGAAAGAATTTAAACAAAACAACTCTCTCTCACAGCAGACAGGCTCGACACAGGTGCGAACTGGCGCGCAGGAAAGAAATGGATGCCAGCAGCAAATTGCGTGTTAGGATTCCACAGCCGCCACAAGGGCTGGCAGGGCGTCCCATGTTGGCCGCCCTGTCTCTTTGTGCTCTCGCTTCCCTGCCACCGCCGACGCCCTCGCCGCCGCCGCCGTCCCCGCCGCCGCCGTCGCCACCGCCACCGTCACCGCCGCCGCCATCACCGCCGCCACCAAGCCCGGTGCCGCCGTCGCCACCGCCGCCATCGCCACCGCCGCCCAGCCCGCCGCCACCAAGCCCGCCGCCGCCCTTGTCACCGTCGCCGTCGCCACCGCCGACAAGTCCGCCGCCAACGTCGCCGCACCCACCGCTGCCGCCCTCGCCTCCGCCGCTCCCACCGCCGCCGTCGCCGCCACCACCTTCACCGCCACCGTCGCCTCCTCCTCCGAGCCCGCCACCTTCATCGCCACCGCCGCCGCCGCCGTCGCCTCCGCCGGGCTGTTCAGACTCGTGCCAATTCAGCAATGACGGTTCATGCGACGATGGCGAGCAAGGCTCGACCAACTCGGCTTGCGCTCCCGGCACCGACTGCACCGACTGTGGCGGGCCTGAGAACGCTTACACTCGTCTCAGCAACCCGCTTCCGCCCGCCGTCCCGTCCCCACCGGCGCCCCCACCGTTGCCACCGTCGCCACCGCCGCCACCAGCGCCACCGCCAGTTCCATACCCACCAAAGCCGCCGCCGTTGCCGCCCCTCCTTCCGCTCTCTCCGGGCGAGGTCTTTGTGAGTGGCAACGCCGCCTTACAGCTGGCCGTCGAGGGAGGCATGACGGACATCTACCTGCAGCCCGGCGCGAACGTCAGGCTCAGCCAGTCTCTCGTCCTTGACGGAATAAACGTCACCATCCGCAGCTCAGGCAGCATCACTGGCGCCACCATCGACGGCACCGACGCGCTGGACAGCCTCTTTATCCTGAGAAACGAGGCAACGCTCCAATTGGAAGGGCTCGTCTTGGCGAATTGCCGGGCGGAAGCTGATGGCGGTGCGGTCCGTATGGAAAATTCTGACGCGAGCTTGCGTGACGTTCGCATACAGGACTGCTACGCTGGGAATTCCGGAGGAGCCATTTACGCCGCCAAGGGCAGCTTGCGACTGGAGTCGGTGGAGATAACGCGCTGCAGCACTGGGATTGGTACAGAAGGCGAGAACGCCAAGGGCTTGGGCGGGGCCATCAGGATTGTCAAGGTTCCCGAGGTGGAGCTGAGCGAGGTCAACATTACCGGCTGCAGCGCAGTCAAGGGTGGGGCTCTGCACATTGACGGTGGGACGGACAGCGAGACCACGCTGAACCGGGTCCGTCTCGCAGACAGCACTGCCACCGAGGAAGGCGGCCTGATTTACATTTCGACCGGCCGTCTGGCGCTGGAGAACGGGACCCTTCTGGAGAGCGGAACGGCAAGCCAAGGGAGCTCGATCGCATTCGGCGGCTCGCCCGAGGTGTCCTACCGCCTGCCTTTGCCTCCCGGGTATTGGATCCCGCACTCGAGATGCGAGATCTACCGGCAGCTTCCTGCCGACTGTGACGCCGTCTGCCGGGCTTTATTCGACAAGTGCAAGACCGAGACGGACGCGCAGAACAACGAGTGCAAACAGTTCCCCGTCGCCTTTGTTCAGCCCTGCAACTGGGAGGCGACGCCCGCGCTGCTCGGCGTATCTCTGTACCAGGTGCCGACCTCTGCCCTCGATGTCGACCTGCCATACGCCTGCGCCCCCGGCATTCTAGGCTCGAGCGATGCCGAGGACCAGAGGTCAGGCGTCTGCGCCGGCCTCTGCCCCGCAGGCCAGCGGTGCCCCGAGACAGCCACGACGGAGCCTCGCCCGTGCACCGAGGGCAACTTCTGCCCGGAGGGGACGAGCGTGCCTCGGCCGTGCCCCGAGGGCTCGTACTCGGCCGCGACGAACCTGACGAAGGAGGACGAGTGCACGCAGTGCCCGGTCGGCTTCACTTGCCCGGCGGGCAGCACCGTCCCCGACCCTTGCAACGACGGCACGACGACGTACGGCCAAGGGTCCACGGCGTGCGACGTGTGCGACGAGGACTTCTTCCTCGTCCTAGGGGAGGCCCAGGCCTCCACCAAGGCGTGCAAGTCGTGCCCGGCTGTCGTGCCCTACACCTGCGGAGTCGACACACGCATCGGCGCACTCTACGTGCCGGGCAGAGGTTGCCTGGAGCCTTCCCTGAAGCCTCTCGGAACCTTCCCTGTAGGCTCGCTCAACGTGTCGAGCGGCTGGTGGCGCGCCTCGAACGAGTCGTCAACGCTGTTTGCGTGCAAGGTTCCTTCCATCGCCGCCTCCACCCCTTCTACCCCTCCGCCCTCGCTGCCGCCCTCGCTGCCGCCCTCGACTCTCCTCCCTCGCTGCCGCCCTCGCTGCCGCCCTCGACTCTCCTCCCTCGCTGCCGCCCTCGCTGCCGCCCTCGACTCTCCTCCCTCGCTGCCGCAGGTGATGGGCGACGAGTGGAGCCCGTGCCGCGGCGGCGTCGACTCGTCGGAGGATGGCAACGCGCTCTGCCACCCCTTCTACGAGGGCCCAAAGTGCGAGGTCTGCACCAACACGACCGACAACGGCATCCGCTACTTCCTCAACTCGAAGGCGCGCTGCCAGCCGTGCGACCGGCCGGCGGAGTCGGTGATGCTGCTCGTCGGTCTGCTCTGTGCGGCGGGCGCTCTCGGCCTCGGCACTCTCAAGGTGATCCGCAGCTCGTGGGCCCCTTCGGGCAAGGTGGCGCGTGCGCTCGTTCTTCTCGGGCGGCGCATAGCGCTGCTGTGGAAGCGGGCGGGGATGCTATGCAAGACAAAGCAGCTGATCAACCTCTTTCAAGTAGTCGCAGTCGTGCCGGCCGTGTACGAGCTTGATGAGGTGCCGCCGCAGCTGAGCGAGTGGGCCATGAACCTCTTCAACGCCGTCAATATCTTCGACCTCGATCTTTTCCTACCGCCCGCGTGCTATGGCTCCTACCTCAAACGCCTGATTGCCTGGGGTTTTCTGCCCTTTGCGCCCATCCTCCTCGCGACCCTCGGCAGCTGCGCCTGGGAGCTCGTTGCTCAGGCTCGCCACAGCGCAGCTGCGAGCAGTGCAAATTCGACCCGTGCTGCGCTTTGGCGCGGCTTTTTGCGTGTGCTGCCGCTCATCTTGATTCTACAATTCTTGCTAGTCACCTCCACCAGCACGCACATCCTCCGCACCTTCAACTGCATCGAGTTTCCGACACGGGACGCGGTCCTCCCGGGGATGCAGGAGCCGTACCGCGCCTACCTCGCCGACGACCTCTCCCTCGACTGCAGCACGCCAGAGTACGCCACGGCGCAGCGGTGGGCGTACGTGCTGCTCTTCGTGTGGCCCATCGGCGCGCCTCTGTTGTACCTCGGCTTGCTACTCGCCTCACGGCGCGACATCATGACGCGCCAGTCGACACCTCTCTTGCGTGCGACCGACTTTCTCTGGAGGGACTACGAGGACAGCGCCTTCTACTGGGAGCCGCTCGACCTCGTCCGCAAGCTGACGCTGACCGGCTTCGTGCTCATCAATACACAGGGCTCGAAGCAGCTCCGCGTCATCATCGCGCTGCTCGTCTCGATGCTCTTCCTCACCCTGCAGTACGTCCTCTCGCCGTACAAGCGCACGCTCGACGGACGGCTCGCCATGTTCGCCAATATCGGCCTCGTCCTCGTCTACCTCGCCACGCTGACCCTCAACTCGTGCTCCATGGGGACGTGCGGCGAGTTTGGGCTCGACCAGTTCGAGCTCGCGACAATCTTCCTCTCCTTCACCACCGCCCTCCTCGGAATTGGGCTCATCCTCGTTCTGTGGCTCTACACAGCGGCAAGCCGCGCACCCACCTTCCGACTCGTTAGCAGCGGGCGCGAGCCGCTGCGAGACGGAGGGACGCTCACGGAAGGCATGCGGTGGCACCTATTTCTGAGCCACATCTGGTCGACGGGGCAAGACGCGGCCGCGGTGATCAAGAACCAGTTGCGGTTGCTTCTGCCTGGTGTCGAAGTCTTCCTCGACGTGGACGACCTTGAGAGCATCGCCGCTCTGGAGGAGTACATCTCGAGCTCTCGTGTCGTGCTTCTGTTCCTATCACGGGGCTACCTTCGCTCGCTGAATTGCCAGCGCGAGGTGCGCGCTGCTTTAGCTAACAACAAGCCCATTGTGCTCGTTCAGGAGGTGGATCCGGAGAAGGGAGGCGGTGCACTGGCCGAGCTCCGCGCGGAGTGCCCCGCCGAGCTGCAGAATGGAGTCTTCGACAATCGTCAGCCAATCCCTTGGCATCGGATTCGTGAGTTCCAGCTCGTCTCCCTAAAGCTGATTGCCGAAGCGACGCTACTGCAGACGCCAAGATACTTCGGGAAGAGCAACCTGCCGCTTTACCTCCCTGGTGAGCTCCGTAGTGAGGGCCTCAGCTTCACACAGCCACTCATTCTTTGGACATCGACCGCAAACCGCGGCGCGCGAGCTCTAGCCGAGGAGCTACGCGTTGCGTTCCCCCGCATCGTCCTCACCGAAGTTCCACCTCCAGGGCTTCTCGATAAGCAAGAAAGCCAGGCGACCAATGCGCTTCAATGGCTCAGCCGTCGAGTGAGTAGTAGCAGCATCAATCGAGACGGCTCCAACGGAGAAGCTACCCACATGCTGCTCTACCTCAACTCGTCAACCTGGTCTGACGAGCTGCTAGCGAAGCAAGTCACAGCGGCGCGCGCGGCCAGACTGCCCATCATCATGGCTCATGAGAGGGACCCAGCACGAGGCGGGTGCCTCTTTGCGCGCATGTTCGAAGTTACGCCTCAGCAGCTGATCGTCGACGGCCTCTACAAGAACCTCGCGCGCTCGTGCTTTCCCGATCCGCACCGAAAGGCGCGGGGTACTCGAGTTCTCTTCTCAGCACCCAAGTCTCTATCATGAGGGTCCCCGGCAACGTTCAATAGGTGTCGCACATGCTCCTGGCTAAGGACCTCGGCGCGAGCACGCAAACGTGCGTTGCACGGCTTTGCGGCCCGGCGATCTTTCCCCACGCAGCGACGCGGCCCCGGCGGGGGCGGCCCATCGCCGAGATGCACGGGACACGAGTGTCGAACCATCATATCTCGCAAGGCGCTGACGTGTAAGGGAGAAGGCGGGTCTGGACACTAACACACAAACTTGTTACGTACTGCGTGCCAGCGAGATTTATTCTGCGTACTAGCGGAGAGATCGAAGTGTGAGGTGTATCGACATACCGTGGTCACGTCCGGTCCATGACTCGGCTCCCAGCGCGGCCCTGCACACAGAAGCTACCTCACAGCAGGCTGCAGAAGCCAGCGGCCCCGGCGCGGCCCTGAGTGTAGGATGTACCATGTACGAACCGCTGAGTAACGAGTAACGTGCCCGGTGTAGAGAGCCGTACGGCTCGCTCTAACCTCCATCCAGCAGCGCGGTCCGTGAGGCGGACCGGTGGACGGCTTGTCGGTCGCGCCGCAGGCAGCCAGCGAGCGTGTAAACGACTATCCCCAAAACGTACATAAAAACGTACAACTTCAACTAACGACAACACTGCGTCGCGAGCCTCACGATAGAACCCCGCGCGTCCTGCTCCGTTGCGAGGACAACGGAAACTCTAGAGACGTTTACCTTACCTTACCTTACCTCTAGACAAGCGTGGCCTTGGATTGCCGCCGCGTCGGCGTAGGCGGGTGCTCACCCAGCGACCAGATGAGTGTTCCGTTGCCAGGAATCGGCTGGCGCCACCTGCGGAGCACGCGCCGGCTCGGAGGCAGCACAGGGGGAAGGCGTCGCGGTGATACTGCAGGGCGTCCATCGAGCGGCGTCGAGACAAGGCGACAGGGTGGCGCAACGGCGCCGTGGCGACAGGGGCGGCGCGAGCGAGGGCAAGCGAGCCTGTGGCACAGCGACAGCTTGTACTTGTCGGGGTTGAAGTTGTTGATCCGCCGCCCCCGCCGAGGCCCAACGGGCGCTCCTGCCCCCGCTAGGTTGCGGCGTGGCGCGGGAACGGGAGCCATTGCCGCCACCTTTTCGGGCGCGGGTGCCACGACCGCAACCTTGTCGTATGGGGAGACCGCCACCTTGTCGTACGAGGAGACGCACTTGAGGAGCAAGAGGCAGAGAAGGACGACGAGCACGGGCGCACGCAGCATGTGGTCCGCGCGATGGTGACCGCCAACCAGGTCGACGAGGTGTAGCTCCTTGAACCAGCTCGAGGGCGGCTCGACAGTCGCGTGCAAGTGAGCTCGGCCGCCCTCGCCCACCGCCGAGATCGCCTTCATCTCTGCCTCGCTGAGCTCGAAGCCCCACAAGTCGAGGTCCGCCGCCATGTGAGCCTCGTTTGCAGTGCCGGCGATGACGACGACGCCTTGCTGGACGGACCACCGCAGCGCGACCTGAGGCCAAGCAGCTCACAAGCGTTTGCGTTGCGTGGGGTGGGGTGCGCCCCAAGCCGTGGGCTGCCCAACGCGTGACTGAGCGAAAGCAACCCAATCAGTGCATGGTGCGCCTGCGCGGTAGTCACGTTGTGCGCCGCCGCCGCTGCGACGAGAGCGGGGTGCTTGAGGATGCTCGGCCCCCAGACACCCGCCCCAAGCGCGCCCCACGCCTGCAGCGTGATGCCGTGCGCCTTGGCGAAGGCGAGCAAGGAGTCGTCGTGCCTGTCCAAGCCAACGAGCTCAGAGACACTCCGTCCACCCGCCAACGAGTACCCTTTGTGCCCTCTTGCTCCTCTCTCTAATCGCTGCCACCTGCCCGGGTGCCACTGCGTCGACAGCACAGCGGGAAGGATCGTCGCGTGCGGCAGAACCTCCTCGACCTGCTTGGCGGTAAAGTCGGAGAGGCCGATGGCACGGACCCGGCCCGCCTACACGCCACAGCGGCGTGTCTCTGCTGTGCTCTCGGCCGTCTTCTCTGATGACCTCAGGCGCCTTAACGAGCAACTCAAGCGCGCGCCAGCTCTCTCGCCGCTGCGCCGGCCCTGGGTCGTACAGCGGCGCAGGCGCGTCGCACCGCTGGTCCCAAACCGGAGAGCCCCAACACTCTGGCGCCTAGGGTACGATCTCGGGTGACTCAGAGCGATATGCATCGGAATGTGAGAGCGGCATTGAGTGAGAGCGCCGGCGCGAGGGGGTGGTGCAGCAGTAGCAGGTCGATCTGCTGCACGCCGAGCATCTGCATGCTGTCGGCGGCGCACCTAAAACAGCGTCGGACGAACTGAGATGCCGAGAGCGAGCCAGGCCGAGCCGGCATCTGCTCTCACTCGATGGTCGCCGCGAAGCCCTGCGAGCCCCAGCACTTTGTGTCCAGGAACAGGCGCGACCGCGGCACGTCCTCGATGGCCCGCGCAACAGGGACAGAGTTCCGGTCGACCTGAGCGGCGGCGCTGCCACCTCTCATTCATGACGATGGTGGCGCAGGAGGCGGCAAGGTGGCGGGTGAGACGGAGCGCCGGCAGAGTGAGAGAGGAGCGCAGAGAACGGTGCCGCACCTGCGCCATCTCGATGGCGCTACCGCCAGCCGCGAGCCAGAGCTTCGCCGACGCGTGCGCCATCCGCTTGAAGCAGCTCATGTTGCTGAACGGTGGGTTCGGGAGCGGCTCGTGACAATGGTTGAGGTAGGCTGAGGCGCCAGTCCCGAGCTGGACAGCCGGCATCAGGACGCCACTGTTGAGCTTGACACACGGAGCCTTGCCGCCGTAGCACGCAAAGGCGGGAGCGATGGCCGAGACGATGGCAAGCATATCAGGCGAACGACGTGCTTTGGCGTCAGCAGCACCCCACCAGCCAGAAAGGAGAGATCACAAGCGAATACCTCATGCTCCGCACTGCCGAAAAGAATTACTCCGAGGCCTGTGCGCCGTTCTCTAACCCCCTCCGGGATATCGATAAAATGAACTCCCCCTCTGGGACCGTCTGTTTTCTTTCGTTCTTTGGCACAAATATAGAAAGGTAGCACATACAAGGACAATGTTCCTGAAACAAGAAAACGGAGCCATCGCTTGGCGGTGCGAGCTGGGCGCAGATAAAACACAAAGACGCGTGAGACTGAGTGCGCCTCGCACGCGCGCCGTGATTACAGCACAGTCAGCTCTGCGTCCGGGTAGCCCGCCGCCGCCTTGTATTGATCAAACACTTCGACGAGTGCTCGCTCGTACTCGGCGTGCAGTGCCTCCACCTAAGAGAAGGGTAATAGCGGGAGCTTCTCCGCCAGCGCTTGCGCGGGGCCGCCGATCTCCGCGTCATGAGACAAGCAGGAGCCCCGCGGCACTGCAAGCGCGAGGCCCGGCGTGTGTGCAACGCCTCGTCCACCTCCTCCGTCGGCCATATCGCGGCTGTATCTCTGCCACATCTCGGCTCTAACTCCCACCTCGTCGTCCGACGGCCGCCCGTCGGCGGCGGCGGCGCGCCGCGAGGGCAGCGGCTCCGCGATGGCGATGGTACAGCCGTGCGGCGGCGTGAGCGGCACCGTGGGCAGCCACCACCAGCGGCCCCAGAAGAGGGTGACGCTGCAGCCTGTGCGCGGCGGGCGGGCGGGCGGGCGGGAGGAGGCTCACTCTCCGCAAGGGGACGGAGATAGCCAGAGGGAAGGGCTGACGCTATCGTCGAGCAAGTGTGACGTCCTCGGCTGCACCTCGGCTGCACCTCGGCTGCACCTCGGCTGCCCCTCGGCTGCACCTCGGCTGCACCTCGGCTGCACCTCGGCTGCCTCTCGGCTGCCTCTCGGCTGCCTCTCGGCTGTCTCTCGGCTGTCTCTCGGCTGTCTCTCGGCTATCTCTCGGCTGCGTCTCGCCGAACGAGCGTGACGTCCTCGCGAGCCACGAATCGGACCTACTCGCGCATCATCAGTCAGGAGAGGACGGGCCCTCGCTCCCTGACTGCCCAGCCAAAGGCCGAGACGTGAGGGACTGGAAGTAGAAGTCGTTGCCCCCAAACACGTACATCGGCGTCAGCCGCGCGCCCGTCTCGAGCGCGAGGCGGCAGAGCCCGCGCCTAAGCGAAAGTTCGGGGAAGGGTCGTGCAAGGCTCCTCGCCTCGTCCTCGCCTGCAAGCCGCGGGCCTAGGCGAAGGGTCGGGGAAGGGTCGTGCAGGGCTCCGGCTCTCGACCGGCGCGAGGCGAGCAGAGCCCGCGCCGAGGCTTCCACACGGCGACGTGCCTACGCTACCTCCTTCACTACCTCAGGCCGAGGTGTGTGGCGAGGCGCGGCCCTCCGCACACAGCCAAACACACCTTGCCGGCTGCGCCGTGAAGATCTCGGCGACGCCGCCGGGCAGCATGTACAGGTTCCGGCCCGGGTGCTTTGCCCGCAAGAAGGTTGCGCCGGAGCCGCTCGTCAGGTTGCGCTTGAGGTTGGAGTACGTGGCAGGCATCCCCGTCCACCTGCGAATAGGCTGGCGAGATCTGGCCGAGATCTGGATGGAGTACGTGGCGGGCAGTCCTGTCCACCTGCTCACGGCGTTTCTCTGATGGACCGGCGGCCCCTCTCTTTCTCGGGCGTACCATCTCCGCCCACTTGATGCGGCCGAGAGGCGGCCGAGAGCATGCCGAGAGACGGCCGAGAGATGGCCGAGAGATGGCCGAGATCTGGCTCCGGCTGCTCACCAGCCCATTAGCGTGCGCAGGCCGGGCAGGTAGCAGATCACGCTCGCCATGCCTCCGAAGCCATACACCGTGCCGTGCTCTGCCGTGCGGAGGTACTGGTCCGCGAACGCCACCCAAAGCAGCACCTGCAGCGGCACCACCCCGTGCGGGTGCATGCCGAGGATGTAGCGCTCGCCCCGCTCGACGCAGTCCTCGACCAGCCTGCCGACATGCCACAGGCGTGTCGTGGACGTGTCCCGGACATGTCCGCTCGACGCGGCCCCTCGCCCCGCCTGCGGATCCGCTCCTGCGTGAGGTTGTGTCGCAGGCGGAAGAGCTCGTAGTAGACCTGGCGGAGGCATGGTGTGCGATCAGCACAGAAGATTCACTAGAGGTTGCGATATGATAGACCTGGAGTAGAGGTTCGCGGAGGCCGAGAGGAGGAGCCAGTACTGCGGGGCATGAAGGCAGCCTGGCAGAGGCGACGCGTGTATGGCCGCTCGTGCAGCGGGAGGAGCGACCCGCCGAGCAAGACGAGGCCGATCGCTGCTGCGGTCGTCACGTGGCCGCACGTGGCGAGTGCGAGCGACACCAGGACGGTCGCAGGAAGGAGGTAGTACATCGACGCGAGCAGTGTCACAAAGATCCACGCGAGAGCTCGGCGCACGGTGGGATGGAAGGAGAGCAAGAACGGGTCGTCGATGCGGCAAGGATAGAGCGCAGCATCGTCAGCCTTGCTCGCGGACATCTCCGAGGTCTGCGACTCAAGGGGTAAGCGGTAGCGGTACTCGCTTAGTGTGGGTAAACCATAAAAGTAGGTTTCTCGAGGTTCTCGAGGTGGATATCCTTTGGCCGCGTTGGGTTTGAATTCGTCCACGGAAGGCTTGGTGAGTGGTTGGGGTGGCCTCAGGCATCCCCAAGGGAGCCTCTGCGGTGCCACATAAGCAGCTTAGTGATTGTCGAGACTTTAAAGTATTCGTTGGAAGAAACGCAAACAAGACAGACGGTACTATGATCACCAGTAAACCATAATTCGACTTTGAGGGATCATATCTCAAAAAGCCGGGAGATAGCATAGCCTTATTGTTGCATATTATGCCACATAAGGTCAAACTCGACCCACCCCACAAGCATCAAGAACCCGATGCTCCGGCTCGACTGTGCCGGCACACTGCCTCCTCGCGCACGCTGCTAGTGCTAGCAGGCCGTTGCGGCCCGTGGTGCACCAGAGAGAGAGGTCGACACGTTGCCCCCGCCGGCGAGTCCGCGCGGCTCAGGCCGGCCAGAAGGTGTGTGGTGGCGGCACCTGGTCCGGAGGGGGGGTGGGGCGGGCGCCTTCATTAAAGAAAAAAATCAGCCGAGTACTGTGCCGTAAGAAAGTGAGAACAGGTAGGAGAAGCAGGCTGTGAGCACGGCGCCGCAGGCGCCTGTTGATAGGTCCAGGTGATAGCCCTGGATGGGCAATGCATACACGCGCCTAGTTGGGCCTCAGATCGCCCGACCTACGCCTAGTTGGGCCTCAGATCGCCCGACCGCGTCCCGGTGCTCTGCCGTCGGATTTGTGACTCCGCCGCACCGCGCCGCGGCCGGGGGCCCTCCGGAGGCCGAGGATGGCCGTGACGGACCGGGACGAGCTCTGGGCGAGGTTCAGTGTCAGTGTATATATTGAGACCAATCATGTCCACAATATCTCTCAGTCTAGCTAAGCCTGGGAAGGCGATGCCGGGGCCGTACAGCAGCTTGATGGTGCTTCGTTCGCCGGCGTGCGTCCCGGAGCGGTCCCGGACGGGTCCGTGGGAGGAAAACAAGGATCAGCGCCGACGGCGCTCTGATTCGACTTTTAACTTCAAACAAAGACAGTGGTCAGTGGCACGCGCCGCAGCGCGGTGCATGCCACTGTCAGGAGCGGATCCGTCAGTTTTTTGGTCACGCCGGCATCGTGATCCTCACAACCTGTGCGCAGACTTTAGGCCACAACAGTATGGCGATCCGCCTCCACTCTTGTGTTGCTCGCTCGCCCGGGCGGAGGGCATGGCCGCGGAGGAGGCGAGTGCGCGCTTGCCAGGCCTTCCGCAGACAGCCTCTCGGCCAGACTGAGGGTCGGCTTTGCGTGGCGTGGCCCCTGCGCTGCGCTGCGCACAGCTGCGTGTGCTGAGGGAGCATCTGGTGCTTCCACTGGGAAGTGCGCACCTCCCGCAGCCGGTGGAGGGCCGTGCCGCCGCGCGCCTGCTCCGTGGACAGGGCGGGGAGACGGCGCCGCAGCGCCACAGCGCCCGCTGAACCTGTGTCACCCGGAATCCATACTGTCACTCGAAAACCATAAGATTTGTCAAATTTGCTGCAATTGCTGTCTTATGGTTGCTGGCATATGCCATAGTAATACTTGTGCACAAGAGTAGGACCCTGGCTGCACTCGCGCCAGGCTACGCTGGGGCCTGTCTCCTGAAAGAGCGCCCCTCGTGGGGCTGGGCAACGCGGCGTTCGCATGACTTGCACACATGCCGCTCACCGGTCGTCCTCGTCCTGGTATCTGCCCCCATCGGCGCCGCATCATCACAACATGCACATGCACATGTTGCACATGGAGCATGTGCTGTGTGCCCTCTGCTCGTCTCGACAGTAGAGCCGCGCTGTCCGAGGCAAGGTGACTGTGTCCGTGAAACCTGTGTCACCCGGAATCCATAGTGTCACGCTCTTATGGATTTGAAATGTCAAATTTGCAGCAAATTTGCACGCAAACTTGTCATTTTGCGAGCAAATAAGATGCAAACATCACACCGCGTGCGCCCCCGCCGGCGTGGGAGTGGCCGCACCGCGTGCTGGGTGTGCCGTGTCGCGTGTGCAACTCCCCGTGACCACGTGTCCACGATAGCCCCGCGCTGCCCCCCCCCCCCGGGGGGGGGGCGCGGTTAGGTAAGGTAAGGTAAGGTAGATTTCTCCACACACACAAAGTGGTGGGGCAAGCACCTCGATCCTGTACCGTGTTTGTTATGACCCCCCCCAATGAACACACCAGAGAGGGAGGGCGAGACGATCGAGGGGTCCCGTACCATGCGGAATCGACCCTATCCAAACCTGGTTTGTGGACCTCCCGCACCTTACCCTTACAGGCCACCATAAGGGACCCCGTTGTCCGTTTGACATCAGACTTTTTTTTGAGTTGGAGGTAATAATTAAAAGGATTGCACTGTCCCAAAGAACTGATTCATTCATTTCACCCTCACATAGTAACAATACCTCAAAGTTGAAACCCTCCAAAATAGGCCGTCAGGACTCTGTCAGGACTCCGTCAGGTCTCTGTCAGGACTCTGTCAGGACTCTGTCAGGACTCCGCCAGGACTCCGCCAGGACAACCACTGCCCCCCCGCTGTGAACAGAGCCCTTAGCTAGAGAGTAGGGAGGGGTGTACAGTCGAGTTACTCCCGAGGGCAGGGACGGCCCTCCACTGAGGGAAAGGGCGCAACGGGGACGGTATGCTCACAACCCAGCCACGCAGCTCTTTGCTCGCGTACAGCCAACGAGTTTGCTGGTCCACAGGCAGGCCAGGCCGTGAGCGTGGGCCGGTCGGGCCTGATCCTGCGGTGAGCACTGGAGGGCTATGCGGCTCGCTCCGTCAGCCGACTTGCGCCGTCGAGCGGTCGAGCGCTTCGGGTTGGACCCGCGGGAGGGTCCCTGCGCGGCTGACATGGCCAGCCAAGCCGTGTGCGCTGCCGTGGGCGTTGTCGTGGGTGCTGTCGTGGGTGCTGCCGTGGGCGCTGCTGTGGGCGCTGCCGTGGGCGCTGCCTCGGTCAGCAGTCGGTCAGCAGTCGGTCAGCAGTCGGTCCGCTGCTCGGCGCTGGCCTGCAGGCCGCCGGTGGCAAATCGGGGGGGCGCGGGCCATGGACGTCGTGGCCGAGCTTTGCTGCCTTCTTGCACGTTGCCGGCTGTAATGTTGCCTGCACCATGGCCGCGCCTCTCTTGCTTGTGCGCTTTCATGGTCGAGCCGAGTGGCGCGAGAGTGAGGGTGATTTCTTTTGTCTGTAAGGACTCTAAGTTTCTGTCAGGACTCTCAAGTTTCTGTCAGGACTCTCAAGTTTGCGTCAGGACTGCCCCATCAGGACGATTCCGCAGAGGGCGCGCACGGTCGAAAGGGGGGCTGGGCGTCTATCATTCACTGCTGGGGGGGAGGGGAAGGAGGGTTGCAGTGAAGGAAGGTGGAGGTCTCGTCGGAGGCACTTGTGAGCACTGTGAAGACCGTGCGCCGTCAGGACCCCGCCAGGACTCTGTCAGGACTCTGTCAGGACTCTGTCAGGACTCTGTCAGGACTCTGTCAGGACTCTGTCAGGACTGTCAGGACAGGTGCGGGAGGTCCACAAACCAGGTTTCCAGTGCTCAAGTGCTCACGCCTGAACTTAGACCTCTCGCTCACCTCCTTCGGCCACGGTGGGGGCTCATCAGTCATCTCTTCTCTCCTACGTACTGCCTCCTCCCCCCACATCATGGAGAGCCTCAGCATCATCTGAGTCCCCATTCATTCGGTGCCTATCCCTCATGCCCCTGTCGAGTCCCTCCTGCTTCGCTCTGTCTGCTTCTTGCTCCGGTTCGACGCCGTGCTCGCTGTGGAGCTGCAGAAAGTACGCCGCCGAGCGTGCCACCGAAGGCGTCCCGTCGGAGGTGATGGAGTGTGAGACCTGAGGCTGCGGAGGTGACGCCTGAGGTACCGGCCCGTGCACAGCGACTCAGCCGGCGACCGCCACGGGCTCAGACGAGATTTATCGACTCGTTCCGGCTCAGCTTCACCGTGGTCATCGGGCGTCTGTCGACGTCACGACCACGCATGCAGCTCGCGGGTTTGAGGTCGCAAGAGCCAAGATGGTGGCGTTTGGACATCCCAACCATCACAAAGACAGCCTGTAGGTGATGGCGGGACGGCGCAGTGTTTGTGGCACTCGGCAGTAGGCACCCGCGGCACGGCCCCGCTGTCGGCTCTCGCGGGCTGCGGAACCGGCCCCAGAAGGGGACGGTCCGGGCGAGTGTGGCAGCTCCTGCGCTAGTATGGGCACCCTCTATCACAACACTACTGATCCTGGTCATTAGAGCTGCCAGGGATAGCGTCAGGACACAGGAGAGTGACAGGAGCCGGTACGCGGTAGGAGTCAAAACCCCTTCATATTTGAGACATCGTGGCCCATATACTGCACAACAACCCGGCGGGGGCGGCTGCCAGGGGGGGGGGGCTGGAGGCGGACATACACACCTGCAGGATGTATCGCGCACAAGAAAAAGAAAAACCTCGTCGTCGGAACAGGATCATGCACATTGTAGATTTGTCACCCGCTCCAACGTACGTACCGTCCGGGCACAGCCGGAAACACCACCGTTTTCCCACGTAAGCCACCGCCGAAACCAAAGGCATCTCAGCTCAACTCGACCGGAGTCGGGTTGGAAGGCGAATCCCCCCCCTCCCCCTCTACCGCCCGCGGAGAGAGCGGTGGCGCGGCCTCGTCGGGCTCCGACGCCGCGCTGGAGGCGCGGGCGAGCGAAGCGAGGCCGACTGTCCCGCCTCCAACTTCCGGCAGCTCGACGTCGGGTCTCTCGTCCTGGTACTTGGGGCGCTGCAGCTCCAGCGCGGCCACCTCGGCCGACATGGCCTCGTATGCCTCCGCCTGTGGGCGTCCGGATGTTTTTGCTCAGGCGCGGGCCCGGGCAGCACCTTTAGAGCAACGGGCTGCTGGCTACTGCTGCCCTCTGCCTGCGCGCTCTTCAGCAGCTCGAACTCGCGGCAGAGCAGAGTGTTGCCTACGAAAAGAGAGGAGAGGCGCGTAGAGGAGGGAGGGTGTGAAGGAGAGCGACTACGGAGCAGAGAGGTGCCGATGGCCGCGTAGCCCTGAAATACGACCAGCAGCGCGGCCGACGCCTCGTCTCACGCCGCCGACGCCGCCTCGCTCTTCTCGCGGTTGTCGTCGAGCTTGGCCTGCCGAGGTTAGCCGAGATTAGCCGTGATTAGCCGAGATTAGCCGGGGTATAGCCGAGGTGCAGCCGAGGTAAGGTACGCCGCGGTGTATCCGTCTCGCGGCTGCTCGGCCTTGGCTCGGGTGATCTCGGGTGATCTCGGGTGATCTCGGGTGATCTCGGGTGATCTCTTGCTGGCCTGCTGCGTGCCCGCCTTCTCCTGCAGCCTCTGGTACTTGTCCGCGTAATAGTCTGCGTTCAGCTTCAGCACCTGCAGCTCCGAACAGCCGATGGTGACAAGCCATGGGCTCCTCACAACCGCTAGTGAGGAGGAGGACGGTTGCTGGTACGCACCTGCAGCTCCGAGATGTGCTGCCACACCTAGTGCAGCGGGCGGGCAGCGCGGAGTCTGCAGTGCACTCGCGGCGCATTGAGTGTCACGGGCCACGCGCGCAGCGAACACAGCTGAAGGCAGCCGAGGCCGTAACGCCTGTCGACTGCTAGCCGCTCGGGTAATCTCGGGTAATCTCGGGTAATCTCCCGAGGCCGTGACGCCTGTCGACTGCTAGCCGCTCGGGTAATCTCGGGTAATCTCGGGTAATCTCCCGAGGCCGTGACGCCTTTCGACTGCTAGCCGCAACGCACGGCGCGTCTCGTCTGCATCTAGGGCGCCGGACGGCGGCCATCGCGGTGGCCTTGCGCCGTACCGACGGCAGGATGGCGGTCTCCTACACAGCCATGAGCACTTTAGCGTGGTGGTGGTGGTGGGGAGGTGGGAGTGCGGCGTCGAGCGGTGTACTCAGAGCATCGCGTGAATGCGAGGGCTACGAATGCCGCTGACGACAGCGGGGATGCCGCCGCGCCCACGCGTCGTCTCGAGCGCCAGTTTGGACACACGGGTTATGCTCCCGCGCCAGGCCTCGAGATATGGGGAGATCTGGGGAGCGCCTCTGCTTCCGCATCTAGGCTGGCGCGGCCATCGCGTCTGCCAGTTTCGTCTTGAAGGCGAGCTCCGCCGCGCTCATGGCGGTGGAGAAGGCGGCGGAGCCAGAGGGCGCCAGCGAGGGACCAAGCGCGCCGTCCACCGCAAAGGCACGCGCGCCGGCAGCCAAGCTCGCTGCGAAGGGACTGAGGCCCGCCTGGCGCCGGGCATGGATCGAGATCTCAGGAGAAGGATTGCGAGTCACGGCGTGGCTGGCGGGAGAGGCGCCTGGAAGGCCACCAGCTCGGCGTAGCTGGCGAGGAGGCACTCCTCGGTCTTTAGGAACACCTCCTCTGCTTTGAGGTACGCCTTGAACGCGTCGCTCGCCTTGGCTTCGGGGAAGGAGAGCACCTTATGGTTCTTGAGAAAGATCGCGCGATTCATCTTCTCCGTGGTGCTGCGCTTGCCGATCGCCGCCTTGTGCTTCAGCCACTTCTTGGCCTCTGTGGGCGGCCCATTGTCGCCCCACATCCCACTGAGCCTCCGTCCGAGCTGGGACACGGGGCTGTCCTCTCTCCCAGCTGACACATCGTCTGCCATGATGCCGCGAGTGTTTGCGTTGAGTCCGGGGTGGTGCCCCAAGCCACAGGCTTCTCTGGTCGACGGCGGTCGATCTCGCGATTGTCGATCAAAATCGGCGGGCTTTGTGACGCCGTTTACGCCCTTTCTGTCACCGCTTCCGCCCTCGCCAACTCTTTCATTGCCGCCTCCCCTACCCCCCCCCCCCCCCCCCGACGCCGCCACCTCCCCTGCCATTCCCCCTCCCACCTCCTCCTCCTTCTCCCGCCGCCGCCGCCTCCCCCGTCGCCTCCCTCGCCATCCTTTCCTCCACCGCCTTCCCCGGGTCGTCTCCTCCCTTCCCGTCTGGCCCGCCTCCCCCTCAGCCGCCTCTTCCTTTATCGCCCCCAACTTCGCCGACCCCCCCCTCGCCCCCCCTCGCCCCCCCGCCACCTCCACCGCCTCCTTCGCCGCTCCCCCTCCTACCCCCGTCATCTTCCCCCCCCCCGCCGCCGCCTCCCCAGTCCTCTCCCTCGCCGCCCCTTCTGCCGCCGCCCCCCTCTCTGCCGCCCCCCACGGCCTCCCGGTCCCACCCCACCGCCCCCTTCTCCACCGCCTCCCCCCCTTCTCCAGACCCTCGATATAAGGTAAGGTGAGGTACACTTCTTTCTCCGCTGGTCACACAAGGTAAGGTAGGTAAACTTCTTTCTCCGCTGGTCACACGAAGCGACGGACGGCGGACGGCGGAGGGCGGACGGGCGCTAACCACGGGCAACTACATGCCGGAGGTTCAACGACGACTACTTGCCGCCTGGGTCGTTTGGGGCGTGCGGCTCCGTCGAGGACCGGGCGCGCCCCTTGCCCGGCGCGGCGTAGGTCCCACTCTGACGTATAGAGGGGAGGCACGGACGATAGCCCGATCCATCAACTACATTCATCTTCTGGTGCTTAGCCCCGTGCAGCGGCGGTCCGGCAGGCTGCCCCCAAGGCCCCCTGGGCCGCTGCGGGTTTTGGAGTTATGCTTAGGCACAGCTTCGGCGATGGCAGCCCCTCCCTGCGTGGGGTGTTGCATAGGCGGGGAGTCTCCCCCGCTGGTCTCCTCATTCCTTTTTTCTTTTTCTTTTGAGAGCAAGAACGCCAGGTTTGTCTTGTATGTGCGTGTCGGGCCTGGGTGTTCGTGCGGAGCGGAGGGGGGTGGGGGTGTGCGGGGCAGAAGCTCAACGTCGGTCGGGGCTTGTCCGATGTAGTCCGGCTTCTTCATCGGGTCCGTCCCAAGCTTGTGTGCGTCGTCGTCGAGGCTGAAGGACACGAAGATGAGCATCATCGTGGCAAGCTGCACGAGGGCGGTGAACAATCCCAAGCATTTGAGGCAAGGGAAGTCTCGGATCGGTGCGACGAGGAAGAGGTCCGATGAGCCACCTAGGCGCTCTAAGAGGCTCATGCGTGCGAGCTGCACAGCACTTCGAGCTCTCAAAGCAGGCGTCCCGGTCAACAACAGAAAAAAATGGGGTTGTGGCGACCGCGAGCTTCCGTTCTCGACACGGAGCCGCGGCGGTCGATTTGGATGACGTCTACTCTTGGTGCGGGCGATGACTGTGCTCTTCTTGTGCTCTGTGGGCCTGAGAATGGTGTTTTTGCTTTTCTTTTGAGCTAGGCTTACGATTTTTCTTTTCCTTTTCCTACTAAGAGCACAGCACACAGGGTAAGAACGTGTACACAATGACCACAGCGCCTCGAGCACAGCGCGCAGGGAGGGACGCGCAGACTAAGTCTGGCAGACAGCAAGGCAGACAGCGCATAATGGACACGATGAAACCTGTACACCGAGGCTCGCACTCAGATCAGCGCGAGCACCTCTGAGATGAGCGATTCGCCGCCGCAGAGCTGGACGCAACGCGCGCAATCGGCCATCACATCGTCGTCGATCATGGCGCACAGCTCCTCCTCGCTCACAGATGACAGCTGGCCGTCGCACGAGTCGTCAATCTTGTCGCCCCCCGCGCCCGCGCCCGCACCCGCACCCGCACCCGCGCCCGCGCCCGCGCCCGCGCCCGCGCCCGCACCTCCCTTCAGGAGCAGCGCCTTGACGGTGTCCTGGTTGGCGATGATGAGCTGCGCCAGCTCCGGCGCGCTCCCCGTGAGGCCCATCACCACCTGCTCCGGGGATGCGCCGCCCAGAAGCTCTCCCTTCACCTCCTCGAACCTGGGGTGGCTCGTGATCGCGCTCACGGCGGAGGAGGGGCCGGGCGGCGCCGCGGCCGGCGCCGTGGCGATGTATTGCGTCCACGAGGCGCGCGATCGAGGGCCGGTCGACCTCCGCGGGTGCTTCTCCGGCGAGGCGACGCCGACGGCACACAGGGGCGCGGGCGGCGTCGAGGGAGGCGAAAGAGGCGCGCACGACGGGGCGGGTGGGGCGCGCGGAGCCTCCAGCGGCCGCTTTAGCTGGCCGGGGCGGCCGCTGTCGCGGACCTGGAGTACGCCCCCTCCGTCGGCGCCAAACGGCGAGAAAGCGCTCATGAAGAAGCTGCACGGGATGCGGCTGCTCCCAGCCTCGCGCACGAGCACGCGCCGCACGTGGCCCGTGAAGGAGACCGCCACCTCGTCCGACTCGGCACCGAGCTCGAGCGCGACGCCCAGCTTCGAGAGGCCCTGCACGAACTGGCTTCCCCGCCTCATCTTGAGCACGAACGGTCCGTCGATCTGCACCTGGCCCATCGTGACCGTGACGCCCTCCTGCTTGGACTCGACGGGCGACAGCGGCATGCTCAGCGCCTCGGCAAAGGCCTTCAGCAGCCGCTGCCGATCCGCCTCCTTCTCGAGGAGCAGGTTGAGCAGCTGCGGGGGTCCGGCGGCCGATTTCATGGCGTGGGGGACCACCTTGTCGGCGGAGAGAAATCCGAGGTGCTCCGTGAGGTGGGCGTTGGGCGCGTTTCGATAGCTGGTCCCGTCGAACATGCGGGCAAAGACAAGGCAGGGCGAGCTGAAGAGGTCCATGACGACGTCCGGGACGGAGAGGGGGAGGGGAGATGTATAGACGGCCCCCTCCTTGAGCTGGATGTCCGACATCTTGAAGCCGAGCTGGTGGGCCGACCGCATCGCAAAGGCCGTCAGGGAGCAGCAGTTGCGCTTCTCCGCGACGTCGAGGACGACGTGCAGCGCTCCCATCAGCACGTTGCGGTCAGAGAGACGGTTGCCGTGCGAGCAGGCCATCACGAGCAGCTTTGTCATGTAGGAGGCCATCTGGCCAAAGATCCTGCCGAGCTCCACGGCCTCGTCGGCGGTCGACACGGACACGGAGACCTGGATGGGGACCTGCGCCGGCTCGCAGATGGACGGGTGCCAGCCAGCCGAAGAGGAGCACTTGGAAAGCGTGGCGGCAGACACGAGGGCCGGCCCGAAGTCAGTCGGAAGCAGCGCCCCTCCCTGCTCCGCGATGGTGCGCGAGGAGAGCTCCACCGTCGCCTTTTGGCCCTTGCTGCGGCCCTTGCCGAGCTTGCGCCTGTCCTCTTCGGGGATGCACAGTAGGCCGAGCCTCTTGCAGCGGGAGCACTCGCGCACCGTCCCGTCCGGCTGGATCATGTCGCACTTGGTGCGGCTCTGGCGGCAGCACTTGCAGAGGGCGTTGAGCGGCATGCGTGCGTGCTACCGAGAACTGGGCAGCTGCCTCTCCCAAGGTGGAGACGGGAGGTCCAAGGTGGAGACGGACACGGGAGGTGGCGACGGGGACGGGAGACGGGCCAACACCTCAGGAGCCGGCCGAGGAAGGGACTGGCGTCCCGAACACGTCCCTCCTATGATCCTGCACATTGCGGCGCTTTTTCATTGTACCTTGAGCACTTGAGCACTGGATAGGGTCGATTCCGCATGGTACGGGACCCCTCGATCGTCTCGCCCTCCCTCACTGGTGTGTTCATTGTACCTTTACGTTTTTAGCTTACTGGGAGAAAAGGGAGAGGGGGGTGTGTTCTCTAGGCCCCTAAGGGCCCTACGCGCGGCGTGAGAGCTCGGAAGCGAGCTTTGTACGGCGATCGAGGATGGCGCGGTTCACCCCCTTCACCGACGCGATGGAGATGCGTTCCGCGTGGTGTGACACAAATGAGAGGCGGGAGTGGGGAGGGTACGCGGTGCGGTCAACGCCCGAGCGTTGAGCCTTGCGCGCAAGGCGGTTGATCTGGCGCGCGCGCGCACGGCGCTCGGCTCTTGCCTGCTGAGCGCGGGCGGCCTGGACCCGCAGCCCGCCCTGTGAGTCGCGGAGCCAGCAGGGCTTGCACGCGCGCACAGCCACCACGCAGGCGCACCACAGCTCGCGTTGTCCGTTTTGAGATGCCGTTCGTGCGCGTTCTGGGGGGGGAGAGTTTTATTCCGCTCTCTCAACGCGCTGGTCATGACATGCCCACGCAAAAACACACAAGTCTCAAGTACGTGGGTCGGGCCCTGCAAACTGCGCATAGACTTCACACTGGCAAGGATCTTGCGGTTGGTCAAGCGGATGCGGGCGTGCTGGGCGGCCGCGCCTCGACCTTCTTGGGCAGTAGCTGGTTCGACAGGTCCTCTCCGTGTCCTAGGCAGCCGTCTTCGCCCTTGCCCCACGTGAAGACGGCGCCGTCGGCGGTGCAGGCGAGGCTTTGGTACGCTCCAGCCGACACAGCGACGGCGCGCCGGCCAGCAAAGGCCTCGACCTTCTTCGGCAGCAGCTGCCTATGCGTGTCGCCGTGGCCCAGCTCGCCGTAGTATCCTTCGCCCCAGCTCCAGACGGCGCCGTCGGCGGACAGGGCGAGGCTGTGGCGGGATCCTGCCGAGACGGCGACGACGCGCCGGCCAGCAAAGGCCTCGACCTTCTTCGGCAGCAGCTGGTCCTGCTTGTCGCCGTGGCCCAGCTGGCCCGCTCGTCTGCCCAGCCCCAGCTCCAGACGGCGCCATCGGCGGTGAGGGCGAGGCTGTGCGCGCCTCCAGCCGAGGAAAAGAAAGGTGATTTTTCGGAAGGAAGAAGGGAGCCAATAAAAAGAAAATCTGGCACAGCCGCACGACGAGAGCCGCCCCTCGCCGTCGATGAAGACGCTGTGCGTATAGCCTCCCGCCGCCCTCGCCGGCGGGTTGGACTCGCGTAGCAAGGCCGAATAGCACAGCCACCGCACGGCGCAGCTCTCGTCCTCTGGCTGCGCCGGCAGCTCGAAGCCGCGCTCTTGCGCCCACAAGCGGATGCCCTCTGCCGTGAGCGAGGCGTGGAAGAGAAGCGAGAGGGCCGCGGCGCGAGCGATGTCGAGGGGGCTTTCGCAGCGAGAGAGGATGTGCTCGAGGAGCGCCGTGGGGAGGTCGAGGAGGCGGGTGGGCGGCGGCGTGATTGGCGAGGGGGCGTGGGTTGCGGCGGCGGCGAGGCGGCGCGAGCTGCGGCACGGCGAAACAGACATCGCGAGAAAAAGAAACCGCGCGTATGTCGTGTGAGGTACATGGAAAAGAACGGGTCCTCCCATCCCTCCCTTGGGTTTCCCTTTTCTTTCTTTCTTTCTTGGAAAAGAACGGGGAGCTACAGAGTGTTGTTTTGTGAGCTACATGGATGGACAGATGTCGATGGGGCTGTGGCAGTTGAGAGAGGGCGCGCACGAGGAGGTCCGTGGGGAGGTCGAGGAGGCGGGCGGGCGGCGGCGTGTCTGGCGAGGGGGCGGTGGAGAGGGGCGGCGGGCAAAGGGAGCCAATAAAAAGAAAATCGGACATTTGCCGCTAGAGAGAGGCCACAGCCCAACGGCGAGTACCGGCTTTCGCTCAGAATGGAGTCGGCCCTAGAGCCCTCCTTCTTCAACGGCGAAGTGCCGGTCACGCTCAAGTACACCGACCGCGAGGACCGCCGCGCCACGATCACCGTCGAGATGGCGCACGGATCGGCGCGCAGAGACCTGTGCACGCTCGCGTCGGCGTGGCTCAGCCTCGCTTCTTAGGGTCCACTCTGCGGCCATAGGCGGCGGCGGGCGGGATGGCGCGGCAGCGCGTGCTGAACCTGCAGCTCACCGATGAGACCGACGCCTACCTCCTCTACTCTCTCCACCTTTCGGAGGACGACTTCCACGCCCTCAAGACGGAGCAGGTGCCGCGTGCCGCTTGCAAGCCCGCCGCCTCTGCTGCACCGGCACCGCGCGCGGCCAAGCCGTCGCCGCAGTCGCCTCCGCTGCCCTCTCCGCCTCCGCTGCCCTCTCCGCCGCCGCCACGCCTGCCGCCTTCCCCACCGCCACCCGCCGCCTTTCCGCCCCACCGCCCCCTACACGGCTGCTGGCGCACTCACCGCCGCCCTCCGCCCGCCGCGCCGCCAGTCTCTGCTGGTGGACTTTGCGACCTTCCCGGGCAAGCTGGTCGAGCTGCTGCGCCAGTGCCAGGCGTGTGCCGCCGAGGAGCAGCCGCGTTTCGTCGCTGAGCTCTCTGTCGGCGACAGCGCCGCCTCCTCCTCCGCCGGCAAGCCGCCGACGCTCGAGCGGTGGCGAGCGGAGGGCGAGAGGTAGCAGCGATGGGGCCGAGATGTGGCCAGGGAGTGGCCGAGGTACGGCCGCCCACCCTCGAGCGGCGGCGGCGCCGGATAAAGTGAGAGTGGCGGGGAGAAGGGCTGAGAATTTGCCGCCGAGCGTTGCCGCCACTGCCACCGCCGCCACTGTCACCGCCGCCGCCCTCGCCGCCGCACTGTCGCCGCTGCTGCCCTCCCGGCCCCTCGTCTCACCGCCCCTGCCCTCCCTGACCCACCCGCAGGAGCCGACGTCTCTGGCCGCGGCGGCTCGGGCGGCGGTGCGGCTGCGGGGACAGCCCGCCCGGCTGCGCAGCGAGATCGCCTCGAGATCAGGCGAGATCGCGCGGAGCGTAGGCGGACCGGCGACGCCCCGCCTGACCGTCACCGAGACGAACCCCTTCCGCCAGCTCTGCCACCTCTCCCTCTCCCTCTCCGCCGGCGACGACGGCGCGGGCTCAGAGAGGAGCGAGAGGCGGCGGCGGTGGGGGGGGGGATCGGCCACCAAGCGAGCGAGAGGCGGACGGCGGGGGGGGCCCTAACAGGGCGCATACTCGCTTTTTCCCTTGGTACTGATGCGGCTGCCCCT